CCTGCCAGGAGCACCCATGGGACAACGATGATGGTTACCAGTCATACTGCACTGTCTGCCGTCCGCAAGGCAAGGCAAGGGGATGCTGCTGTGTAGCGCTGCAGCATCACGTCTGCCAGCAACATCCAGTAGACATACAGTGACAGTGAAAAAAGGCAAGAAACAATTTTTTTCCCTTTGCTTTCACGGGGGGCGGGGCTGACGACATATAACCTGAACCACCCGCGACTATGTTTTTGACCCTTCAGGCACTGGGAGCTCAACCGAGAATTCAAATGGTTTTCGGAGAGTGCGGGAACTGTGGGATAGCTACAGTCGTCAGTCGCCCCTCCCTCCCTCCGTGAGCGTCCATTTGATTCTTTGGCTTTCTGGTACGCTTGTCTCTGCTCCTTAAGTTTCACGCAGCACTGTGTTGAGTCCCTGTTGTGGCCTCTGTCCAGCATGGCCTTGGAGATTTTTTCAAATGTTTTGGCATTTCATCTTTTGGAACGGAGTTCTGATAGAACAGATTCATCTCCCCATACAGAGATCAGATTCAGTATTTCCCGATCGGTCCATGCTGGAGCTCTTTTTTGATTCCGGGACTGCATGGTCACCTGTGCTGATCAGCACTCCATGCTGGGCAAACAGGAAATGAAATTCAAAAGTTCGCGGGGCTTTTCCTGCCTACCTGGCCAGTGCATCCGAGTTCAGATTGCTGTCCAGAGCAGTCGCAATGGTGCACTGTGGGATAGCTCCCGGAGGCCAATACCGTCGAATTGCAGCCACACTAACCCTAATTCGAAATGGCAATGTGGATTTCAGCGCTACTCCTCTCGTCGGGGAGGAGCACAGAAATCGATTTTAAGAGCCCTTTATGTCGAAGTAAATGGCTTCGTTGTGTGGACAGGTGCAGGGTTAATTCGATTTAATGCTGCTAAATTCGAACTAAACTCGTAGTGTAGACCAAGTACTGATTCTCTGTACTTTCTTCCTGTTGGCCCAGCTCCTACCCAAGTCACTGACTCTTGGGGCTTCCTCCCTAGAGCTCCTCCCTCAATTTGGTTCTCCACAGGCTGGATCCTTATTCCCAGTCTCTCCACGCAGTCTAACTGGGGTTTAGCTGTTTGTAGAGCCTGCCACAGACATCTCCTTTTCTCCAGCTGCCCTCTCCCTTCAGGGCCAGTCACAGAAGACAACCTCCTTTCTTCCCTTCAGGCACCAGTGACTGGACTTCACTTATTTTGTGCATTCCGTGCCCACACCTCCCCTTTGAATGTGGTGTTATTGAGGAAGCCTGGGTATCTTTATCCTGTTCCCAGTTCTACTCCCTATAGTGCCTTTTCTTCCATCTTTTTCTCCACTGTCCCTTCCTTATCTATTGAAGTGGAGATTCACTCCTCTTTCCCTCCCCATTGATTCTCACCACCTACCTCTTCTCCCCTTTTTTCTACAGGCTCCCCCATTGATGAGGGCCTCACTGGATGTCTGCTTTCTCTCACTCCTCTTTTCCTTCTTTCCCCCACCCTTTCTTTTCCCCAATCCCCTTCACCACAAAAACAGAAGCTCTCTCTTTTATCCTCCCTGGTGATGGGCCTGCAGGTGTGGGTTCTCATTTCTCCCCTTTCCTCCCCCCACCATCAGGGGTTCTTTTATCTTTCTCCCACTCTCTTCCCACAGAGTTAGAATCTCCCAGGTGGTAGGTGTTTTCTCCTCACTCTGTCTTTGCCCCTTAGTTCTTTTTTCCTTTCTCATTGTTGTCTCTTGAGGTAGGGCTCTTCTCTACTTCTATCTCCAAGGGGATGCAGTTAAAGAGTTCTCTTCTCATTCCTCCCTTTTCTCTCATGGGGGGATGTAGTCCCCAGGTGAGGACTTGCTCTCTCTCCCCTTCCCTGCTCTGGAGAGGTAAACTTCATTTCCCTCCAGTGTTACTATAGCCCTCTGAACAGCTGGTGCTCAGGCAGAAGTCTTTGAAAGTCTGAATTTACTGACCAGAGGCCTAATCCAGACCACCAGTCAGCTCAGACACTACAGGTCTAAGTCAGGGACAATGGCTACATATTAGAGCTGCCTGGAATTTTTTTGACAAAACTGTGTCTTTTTGTTGTTGTTACTAATGAAAAATGCCAAAATTAAAAAATAAATATTTCACAGATGCATTTTGATGAAATTTTAAATGAGAAAGTTTCTCAGGTCTGGGGCGGATGCACATGAAAGAGAGAAAGTCAAATCAAAAACCCAAACTTTTTGATCCAACAATGGACTTTTAAACAAAATTCCACTTCACTAAAACTTTTGAAAGGTTTTGGTTTTGTTCCACATTGGCACAAAGACAAATTTCAAAACCTCAGAAGTTTGCATGAAACAGAATGAACATTCTCTGGAGAGCTCGACTAGATATTCTTCCCCATTTGGCCATCTAGAAGGGCGGGGGAGAAGACAGCTAGTGAATCAAAGTCTCAGTTCCATCCCAGTCTGCTCATAAGCCAATTAAGTCAGTCGTTTTGGGTCAGGAAAATCAGCTTAAGAGACACCTCCTTTTCTGTGTGGTTTAGGAAAAAGCTGTTTTAACAGCTCCAAGAGGGGTGAGGAATAGGGCAGACCTGTCTACTCTGCAGCTTTTGGCTGGATGTTAGCTGGTTTATGCAGCCCTCTAGTCTGCTCCTCACGTCTTCTGCCCTTCCGCAGGTCCCCCGATGCTTCTGTTGGTCTCCTGCATGTGATACAATATTGCCAACTTTCACAATCTTATCATGAGTCTCATGACATTTGGTGTCTTATTTAAAGCCCCGCCTCCTTTAGGCAACTGATTACCTGAAGAGCTAAAAAAGTAGTAAGCCAGAATCTCCCCATCTCAGCATCAATGCCTAGCAACAGTATTGATGTTAGGAAGGGACCAGCAGCATTGGCCTGAAGGGATTGTACGGAGTAGAGTAGAAACAGCAGTGAGGGACATCACATGAATTCCCCCACATGTCTGGGGAGTAAAAAAAAAAAAAGAGGAGCAACAATGTGTCATCATCCTCCCCCTCGAAACTACTAGGGGCAGCAGGGAAAGGAGAAGAATAAAGAAATGAAATGGCAGAGGGAAATGACTCTCCCACGCCACTTTCTCCAAAGCTTCCCACAGAGCTGGTGTTTGTGGAGAAAAGGAGTTTGTTGCAACATATAAAATATATTTTTCACTGGATTATGAAAAATCAGATAGCGACACTCAATGCAACACCAATTGGAATATCTCAAATGAGGGTTTATTATATATTTTATATATTCTAAATGTCAGAACATTTAAACCATTTGCCACAGAAAAATAAGGGGAGGGGAAGGGGAAAGATATTGTGAACAATCTCAGGCTTTTCCATGTAGAAATATAGGTAGGGGAGACACAAAGAGGAAAGAGCAACAAAAAAGCTGGGGTTGAGAACAGAAAGAAATGCATAACTAGCAGGGGATGCCAGGAAAAAAAAAATCTCAGGAGGGAAGAAGTAAGAGGGAGAGAGGAAATACACACACACCAGTATAATACATATTAGCTTGCTTTCAGGGTTGAGGCTCTGAGTTTATTTTGGCTGCCCATCTCGTTAATTGTCACTATTAGACTGACAGCTTAAAGAAGTTCTCCCCTTACGACTGAGGGTGTGTCAGGGAAAGACTCAGTCCTCCCTATACATTAGGGATTTTATTTTCTATTGTATGTAAAGGACAAAATTTACAGGTAGCAGTATAAAATTTGCAGCCTGGAGCAAACTAATTATTTCACATTGACAAACAGGCATCTTATTTACTGTGTTGATTTTTTAAAGGGATTTTATTTTTATTTTCAAGGGGCTTCACCTGATTGTGTTTCTCCTAAAGTACATTGGAAATAACAACTACATTGTCTTCCACTTAACTTCAATCTGAGTCAATCTTGACATTTTTTTCCTCATTTTGGAACTGCTTGACCCAAACGAGGCCAGTTTTCTTCACCAGAACCTTTTGAATTATGTCAGCTTAATTTTCATATATGGACTTATTTTACTCAAGCACTAAAATGCTCCAGAAAGTGAACTGCACAGTGTTTATTGCAGGATTCAAATACATTATGAAGCAGAAGACCAAACGGTTGAGTGATTTCACTCACAGAGAATTGAGCTATAAACCTTCTGAGCTGCACTATATGGCGTACTTTGATACAGTAATTGCACAGGGAAATTATAAAAATAGAGAGAAAAAGTTACACCCCATCATTTCCTGGGGATTAAAGATATACATCAATATACAAGTATAAATATGAGTGCATTTAAATGAGCTGTTTAGCGTGAACACCAATTAGTGCAAATAAATATCTCTTTTCTCCTGTCATTTGGAATATGAAAAGCAACCCCTAACAATGCTTACTTTGATTTTATCAGGCCTAAAAACAATAATGGCATTTAATCCTGGAAACTATCATAATAGCCTAATTGAAAGGAAAAGCACTCCCATCTTTATATTCAGAATTTCCACATTTTTATAAAGTCTTTATCTTAAAAAAAAGTCAGTAAAAGATAATATGATAATATGATAATATGATAATACAATAATGCAAACTGGAACCATAAACAATTCCCTTCTTTTAGGGTGCCTTGCCCAGGAAAAGGATGCCTTGCAGAAGAAGTTTCCTTATACTAATTCATCGTTTTCTATAACATTAACTGCTTCTGATCCTTGCGGGGGCTCTATCCACACATTTCCAGTACACAGCCAGGCAGCACCTCCTCTCCTCCAACTCACAGGCTACAGAATTTATAACTTTCGAATCCATTTCTCCTTTGGGTTTCTAGTTGTACTCCCAGGCAAAAGTCAAAAATGTGAATAGCTACCAACTAGCACTTGGACTCAGCTCAGTCACTTCCCTATGGTTCCTAGGATATGCACCTTATATCTCCCAAAGAGCTTTCTCCCCACCCCTTCCCTTACGTCCCTTCCGAAGGGGTATCATTTGAAGCCTCCTTAGTGTGGTACTCAAAAGCCAAACAGTTCTCCCCAAGATCCCTTACCTTATGATGACAAACATGACCAGAGAGTTGCCCACCAAGCCAACCACAAAGACCACAGAGTAAACAGCAGTGATGATAATGGGGATAGCTGGGGAAATGTTGGTATGGTTCTGCTGCAGGTCTTCAAAGCCACCACTGGCATTGTTGCCATATTCAGCCCAGCCCAGGAGCCAGCTGCTGCTGCTGGGGAGGAGGCAGGGGCCTGGAGAGCAGGTGGAGGGTGGCTCCTCACGGAAAATGTGCACGGGGGGCTCCATAGGGTCCATTGTTACCACAAGCAGAGAGGGGGATGGGACAAGGATGGAGACAGCAGAAGGCAAATAGGCTTGAAAGAGAAGAGAGAGAATGAAACACACTGTGCAAACTTTCCATTCAAACAGACCTGCATTTCAAAATCATGTGTGGGGGGGATGGGAGGGTCAATGGTGAGGAGGGGGGATATTTTAATAAGCAGAGGTTTAAATAAATCCCATTTAATTAAATGCAATATTTTAAAATCTCGTCATTGTTTAATATAAGAGGTAAGTGCTGGTAAATGCTCTATGAGATGCATGGCTAAAGTTTCCTCCACTTAGAGATTACACATTAGGAACAAAACAGAAGAGAGACCATAACAATTTAGAAACAGCTCAGTTCCACTCCTCTGGTTTCCCCCTCCCTCCACATTTTTTTTAAGTCAAACAGTGTCTTAACCTCTAGGTGTTCTTACTGCCTTGACTACAATGAAGGGGGGGGTGGGGAATCCACCCCCTTCACCACGATTGTGTGCCTTTCTGCCCTGAGTTTTTTCCACATTCAGATGTGACTCCTTTAAATGAGATCAACGAAATTTCAATAATTACCTCTTTCAGTCCTGAAAAAGGAGCAGAGTCCCCAAATGCTTTTAGGAGTAGTAAAGAAGCATCCTTTCAACTCTTGGAGGTGTCACTGATCTTCTAGGACTTTTGAACCTGGAGCATCTATGCCTCTGGAGAGCTGAAAACGTGCTGGAGATGGAGCTGAATCCGAGTCTTTAGCTCTGAGGTGGCAGCAGCTGCTGCTGCTACAACTCCCAGCACTTCCCCCTTTTACACTCACACACACTCTCTGTCTGTCTCACTCTGCCAGGTCTCCAGCAGCACTCTGCATTAACGCACACATTCTCCTCTATCTCAGTCCCTGCAGCTCAAAAGCTCACATGACTTCTGTCTAAACACTGACAGGCAGACAAGTTGAAAGGAAAGACAGACAGTAAGTTCTACACTAAATGAATGTATCATTTCTATACACTTTTCCAAGTTGTCTTTCCCTTTTTTTCCCTCGTAGGCAGTTTTAAGGCCTTCATGCAATGGTACTTGCTCCCTTACTGAATATTCCAAATTTTGGTAACTAGAAGACACTGGACAAAAGAGGAATCTCAAATGAAACCCTTTTGACTTTTTCCTATTAATGGAAAGTTTGCACATTGTGTTTCATAATATATTTTGGGGAGGACAGAATGTAGATTCATGAAACTGGATCCAAACGGTTCCTCATTGGGAAGTTGTGTAATATTTCATTATATCTATAGCAAGAAGTCAGTTAGGAGGGGTCTAGGGAAAGTTATAGGCAGAAGCTCAGCAGGGAAGCAGAGAGTGAGACAGTAGATTTAGATAAAATATCCTTGTTCTTTTTCTCATTAACTTCCTTGTACAGTGTTGAAAGAAAGCAGCTCTTTTGTGAGTCTTTGCCATTGTCACATGACACCATAATATTACATTCCACCAGAAACTAAGCCCCCAGGGACCTGATATGTGTTTAGAGGGATTCCACCATAAACTATATCCCAAAGCAGCAGCATATGGGGAGAGGGAGTACACAACCCAAATCCCTAGAAGTTGAATATCAGATGAAAATATTCAGTCATGCAGGTATTTGGATCCTGAACATCATTCTGGATGCTATTTAATTAATCTGACCCCAGTTGGGGGTGGAGAGCTCCACTATGTTTCTCTCTAAATACCAAATTGGTGAGCGAAACAGAAGATCCTCTAGGCCCACACTCTGCAGCAGAGAGAGGAAACAGACTAGCTGTCTTTGTAAGGACGGACAAGCAGGGCTTCCCCAAAGAAGACAACGGCAGGTGACTGAGTGTAAAGTGCTTCTGTGCATTTTGGTGGAGTTCAACAGGGTGGTGTGTGTTCCTCTTGCGCCTTTTGTAATGCAGAGACTTTATTCCATGCTCTGATTTCATTTGAAGAGTTACTAACAACATCTTAGAAAGGGGGCCAAACTCACAGGCCGATGTGGTTTGAAAACCCAATCACAATGCTTGACATTTTGCCAAAACCAAACCATGTTTCGTAGCATACTTCTCTGCTCTCCAATACGTAGACGTAGCTGTAGTGTTTTAAATAAATTTGAAACTACCAAAAACAACAGATGCAACAAATACATGACAGAAATGTCCCTGAGTGAGTCATACGCATTTCAAAGATGTAGCAATGACCTATGGACTGCCATGAAAAAAGCTGCTCCCCACAGCTTCTCTTCTTCCTCCAGCTGCAGCCTATAGGCCAATCTTAACATACGAAAGTCAGACCTGGATTAACCAATATGCACTTGTGCACTTGCACAGCCACCCCATCTGAGAAAGGCCCCTGACAACCAAGAGAAAAAAAAATTGAGTGGCACTGCTCAAATTTGGCCTGGCTGTCCCTCCATCATGACAGAGGGGCAGCTGTGCTAAACCTGAGTGGCGTGGGGGTTGTGTAAGTGCAGGGCAGGTGATGGGAATGAGCAGAACTGGGCCACCAGGATCGGGAGGAGCCATCCTGGCCTGGGATGAGAGCAAAGCACTGAGCCAGAGGTGCGCAGGAGAGTGACCAGATGGGTCCTGGGGGCAGCAGATGAGGAGCTGCAGATGAGTTGCTTGTGGGCTATGGCGTGAGTGGGGGTGGGGCAGCAGTGGAGTTGAGGACTGGAATGTTGGGGGCTCTGGCTGGTGGAGCTGAGGTGTTGGGGGCTGCAATGTGTGTGGTGTATGTCAGGGTTTCTGTGTTGGGGGCTGGTGGAGAGTTGGTGGGATATATATGGGGTGGGAGAGGCATTCAGGTGTCTGTGTGTGTGGTGAGGAGAGGGAAATTCTGGGGTCTGTGCTGGGTGGAGTGTATATGGAGCAGGGACACTTTTGCTGTCTAGTTTACAGAAGGTGGGGGCTCCCCAACTTCCACAGTGCACAGGGACCTGACCTTCTTTAATCTGGGCCTGACTGAAGTAGGGTGACCAAAGAGCAAGTGTGAAAAATCAGGACGGGGTGGGGGGTAATAGGTGCCTATATGATTGAAGTGTTGGCTAGGGGGCAATTTACTGGCTGTCACTTTTAATCTATACTTTAATTCAGTGATTTTCAATTACTTTAAACATTTTATTTGAACTTTTCCATATTACAAGGTAACATGTAACTAATATATATATATATATATAGGCTGCATTCTGGTCAATTTATCAATAAAGTGAGACTTCTGATTGTTACATTGAAGATAGGGTGGATGAGGAGGAAGTGGTTTGTTGTTCTCCAGTTACTCTAGGTGGATCAGAAATGTTCTTATGGAGAAACCCCCCCCCTGCTATTTTGGATGTTCCAGACAAATCTAAAATGAAAAGGGTGAATAAATACAGTTAGATTAATTAATAACTGACCCCGAACTTTTTAAAGGTTTAGATAAGGGACCACCCTTTCTCTTCCCAACTTCCATTCTCCATCTAAGTTCTATGTAAATACTGAGTATGGTTGTGGCTTATAAATCTCAAAGGATCTCCAAGTACTAAAAGTTATGCAAACAGGTATGCTTATCCTCAACTATAGTTGCCAACCCTCCAGGATTGTCCTGGAGTCTCCAGGAATTAAAGATTTAAAATTATGTCATGTGATGAAACCTCCAGGAATATGTCCAACCAACATTGGCAACCCTATCCTCGACTGAATGGCGTAACTGTCATCACAAGGGACAGGAGATCCTTCAACTCACATGGGTAAGGGAAGAAAGAAAAAAAGAGTTTAGCAATCCACTCAGCAGCCCATGCCCTTCTTTGGGGACACCAGATGGGACTGAAGATCCCCCTGCCTCCTGGCGTGGTAGAGAGGTGGGGAGAGAGAAATCCAAGCCATGCCACGCCCCTGGACCCAGCAGATAGTGCCAGTAGTTAGTCTTGCAGCTTGAGTAATAGTTTGTGCTACAGTAATGAAAATAAAGGGTTCCAGATCTGATGATGGGGGTGGGGATACACGGTTGATATACATAGTGGAATTTGTTTTTACTTTTTCCCCTTAAAAATAGGAGAATACATACAAAATAGTATATTAAAATAATATTATTTAGGTTGCAAATTCAAATAACCAAAAAGTTTAAAAATGCCAGATTTGGCTCCCCCTTGTGCATATGTGCTATGGTATTCTATAATCACATGATGACCTATTTTTTCCATACGAGCCCTGCCTCTTGCACTGCACAGATTGGATGCACAAGGTAGCAAGATGCATGGTTGCCTATGCAACATAAATGTGCTTGCACGTGTTACCATATATCTGACATTTCCTGTCAAACGTGTGACTTTGTAACCTAATTAACATATAGTTGTCCTGTATGTACTAGAATCTTTAATGAAAACAAGTAGGCAGGGCCTCAGCTCATCATCTCATTAGAAAACAAAATAAAAAGGCATATCCATCAGCAGAGTGCCCTCTAACAATATACTAGGACATTAATTCAGTACTGATTCAGATGTAAGAGTAAAACCTACTGAATCACCAGCATTACTTTCTCTAGCAACCATGTGGCAGGCTGCTGCATGGGACTGACGTCACCATCTCAGAAGATTAGGTGTCTTTTAAGCTCTCCCATCTAAATGCTAACCCTATTCATCTTCTGAAAGCTGACTGGATCATGGCAGACAGTGGTGTTTCTGCAGGCTACTTTGCTGTCTCTGTCATTTTGCCAGATGCCAGATGATTAGGCTGTGAAGGCCCCTGTTGAATGAAAAAAAGTCTCATTTTCTGCTACAGTTTCAATTATTGCTCCCCGAAGATGGAATAATCTTTTGGGGTTTGTAAGTTAAACTCTGAAGAAAGCTGAAAACTTGAATTTCAGCCATGAGCTTTGGTGTGGGGACTGTGATCATTTGCAAGGCCACTTTTTAGTCTTCTGGGAAACAATAAGTAGTCACACTCCCCCTGCTCCCCTCTCCCACTCCCCACCCCAAATATCTGCTAGGTTGCTCCATTTTAGTCCACCTGATAACTATTTCTCCTCTTTGCTACCTGATTGACCAACGGCTACAATAAAAGAGAACCTGAATAATGAGAGAGAGTTTAAAGAGCTTTCAAGTGGCTTTGGTTGCTAAGGGAACCAAGTTCTCCTGTCTACACACATTCAGAAATGAAAGCTGTCTGTGTGAAAACTAGCTGTCAGGAATTTATATTTTATCCTGTTCCTGTGGGGGGGAAAAGAACATAAAATAATTATTCCTACATGGTTCATGTGCATGTAGATAGATATACCGTATTGTAATCACTTAAACTTCATTCTCAGGAGGCTCCATTTTTACCTGCCAATGAAGGATGTTCAAATTCTATTTTAAAGTAAGTCATTGGTATTGCCATCCATTGCTTCTTCAGGAAAAAAGCTCAACCAAGCATTGGGTCACCTTCCTCTTCTCTTTTCAGAACCCAGAATTCCTCCAGCAGAAAGATGTATAGAAGAGGGAGCCCTACAGTGAAACCATAACCAGCTAGGGAGTTTACAAGTACAATGACACAGTACCTGCCAAATATTTTCTGAATGAAGAGTGGTAAAGATGCTGAGTCAATAAAGGAGGGGGAGGATAAGGATTTGGGCACCAAATCTGACTAACTGCAACACAAGGATTTAATTCCTAAATCAAATGGA